TTCTGATGGTATTCATTGCTGACGGTTAACGACAGATGCTCATAATGCTCCACTCTTGACCAATTGATTACGGCGATTGCCACTTGGTGTACCATGATATCTTGTCGAGGTTCCTTGAAGCTGGGAAACTTCGACTGCTTCTAGAGACGAATGGCTCCCTGACTTTTGGCCTTTGTCCCCAAGCTCCCCCGCATATCCACCGTTTTGCCTGTGGCATGGAGGTTGGCTATCCTTTCATCAAATTCTTCACATCATAAAATACGTAGAGCTGGTTATCTATCCACGGGCACACAGATGAACGTAGTGCTAAAGAACTTCGTCATGCAAATCTGGAGCCGGAAAAACAGCTCATCTCACCCCATGGAAACTGTATGCACTAGTGCCGGGTAACACCTGAACGTGGGTTAAATAAATAAGCCATGCTCAGCCCTTCACTCGCTCACTAAAATCTACACACACTAAACATCCTTTACACACTCTCAGTACATCTTATTAATCAGTTGTCATAGTTAACTATATCAACATTCAGAGCTCTTCAACATCTGAAAAGTAGTTATGGGCTAGAATTAGTGGACTAACTAAGAGTTAAAATCCAGGTTAGCTAAGGAATAGAGCTCTGAGAAACATGATAAATCACTGTCTCTGAAGCATTCAGAGCATTTAGAGTGGGAGATATGGCTAGCGCATGTAGTTTTAATGGGTGGTTGACATCAAAACCACGCCGAAGTTAACCATGTTCAACTTTTTAACAACCATGTTCAACTCACATGGCCTCTCAATGATGTTTGATTTTTCATATTTTGCAAGGCCCTAACCCTTTCTAACTCTAATCCATAACCCCTAACCTCTAACCCCTAAGATAATCCCCTAATTTAGGAGATTATATTAGATAGGATGAGGTGCAAAGCCAGGGCTGGAAAAATAGCTCAGTGTGATGCTACTAGTAACACTGCATCATGGGGCATGGGGCAAAAGTTCATTGTGGTGCAATTGATGGTGGTTAAACTTTTGCACCACGACAAACTTTTTAGCACCACCTTCAACTGTGTCCCGCCTATCCACGAGTGAAATTCCGGGAGATTCCCGAAGTGTTTGTCCTTGTAGCCCCCACTATAGCCTGCTCAGGACCTTTTTGGCGGTAGTCATGATGATGGGCATATGTTAGCTCGCCAGACCTTCATCTCCTCAACCTCAGTTTCGGCTCTCAAAGACGTATGCCACCTTTGGAACCTCTGGACACCTAGTTGAACGTAGTTAAGAAAACTGATGTATGGGGCTCTCATCATAAGGTGATTGTAACCACAAATTCAAAACATATTCAACTAATTAGGAATATTCAACATCAAATAATGATGAATCATTCAATAGCTATATTTATCTGCAGTACTTATCAGTAGAGTCTATCAACTAGATATTCTTCTGAATAACTGATAATAATTAGAATATATTTACATCTATATAAGAAAACAATATTATAGAATTGCAAGATCTGAAAGAAGACAGAAAAGAGGCTAGACCCTATTCATATTAAGATCTAGCCATGTTAATGCTCAGTCAGTAGTTATTGGTTATGGGTAGAAATTTTGACATTTAACCTTTTTCTAACCATGTTCAACCCGAACCCGGAACCTCTCGGTCCTTCCCGGAAGGGGATCATTCAGCCTGCGTATTTAACCAGGGATGTGGTAAAAGAGTTCGTTGGAGATAATATCTCATTGTATCTTGCCTTTTGATCACTCATTAAATCTCGCAATTTCCTGCTTATTTTATCATGTAATTACCAGAGTTAGGGTATTTAATTTAATTATCAATTATTTCTTCGAATCCAGTATTAAAAGGAAACATTTTGGATGTTATCCCCATACCCACAGGAGTTCAACAAAAGATATAAACATTAAGAAAAAAAATATTAAACCTAATTGAATTCTAAACTCCTTGAAATTTATATATTATGGGTATTATATTTCAATGAACATAATTAGGATTCAAAAATATATTTTCTAAATTCTTTTTTTT